CTTCAATCTCGAACCCTTAGTAGTAAAAATTCCAAGAATACCGTCCTCTAAAAAACGATCCTCTAAAATAACACCGTGGACCCTTTTTTCCAGGTGGACGGCAACGAAGCGACAAAATCTACGGTCTTTCGAGGTCAACGTCCTCTTACCCTCGAATAATCGCCAGTCGCGATTCCACCCCCGGGTGGAGGAGGATGGCGATGCGTGACGCGCCGAAAAAGAAGGACGCCTGTTGCTGTCGACGTTTTAAACCGAGCCAATCGATACGATTCGAGGTCGACCCGATAACCTTTGCTAATGGAACCCCTTTCTCTCTTTCTCTCTTGGGCCGTCGTCGAGCCGCCGACACGTCAATCACGATCGTGCTACGTGTGTCGGGAGGGGGTCAACGACTCGCCACGAAATCTATATTTCGTGCGAAACGATCGAAATCGAGGTACGTTTTTCTTTCAAAATTAATCTCAATTTCATTTTCAGTTTTAAATAATAACGAAATTTAAATTTTCGTGAAGGGATACAGATTTAGAGATTCGTTATTCATTTTTCAAATATAAAAAGTGAAGTGTATAAGAATTTTGAAGGACGGTATTATAAGTTGAGAATTCTTGAACCCTGTCCAAACTAATACAATACACGTGAATGCGAAAGCACGAAAATTCCCTAGGAAATAATAATAAATTTGAAGCATACGTCTAACGTTGGATCACCGGTAAATTACGGCTAACACCGGGTGGTCCAAGATTTCTGCACATTATTACACGCAATATATAATACACGTATCTCTATTATTTCTACGATAAATAGTTCGGTTTATCTCGTCGTTTTCACAATAACGAATCTGGAATTTATTAATTTCAACCATTGATATTTCTATTTGTGAGATAACAGCGATAAGCCGCACGAAAGTGCAACACCTTCTCTTAATCGCTTGGAAAGCACGCGAGAACTTCATCGGGAAATTTATTCGCGATAATATTAAATTGGCCACGATTCCTTTCGTACGACTTTTCTCTTTTTCTTCTTCCTTTTCTAATTAGTGAACCAATGAATAACGATTTATCGTTATTTCAAAATCGCGCAGCAGTTATGATACATCCGTGGAAAATTATTAATTTTCATATTGAAATTTATTACATTCGATTCGGTTGTTTTCGTTTAATTAAAATTTCATACAATCTTTTTTTTTTTTTCAAAAATGATAAGGATAATAAAGGTATTGGCAACCATGAGTTTCGTAATATAGTGGTTCACCGATTTTTCAATAAGCTTTTATCAAGATTTGAACTAATATTTATGGATTTTCGATTAGGTAACGAGATAAACGGATCCAACGAGGAGAGTTTGTGTTAATTACAAATTATCTTGCTTGTAAATTCAGAAGAATTAACGAAATGTAAAATTCTTACTTAAAAATGCGCAATATGAAGAACATTATGGGCAATAAAGAAGATAAGTGCAGATATTAAATAATTGTTTCTCTTATAGTATAATATACCTTTTCTTTTATCTCGAAAAAATATTTCAAACAAAAATAAATCGAACAACTACTTGTCATAAATAATTAAATTTACAACCAGACCTAATCCCATCTTATTCTATAATTGAATTCCATTAACGAAACAATTATTTAAACGAGAACAATGAAGCAAATATAAACTCTTGTCCGAAACATTTCAAATCAATCAATATCACACAATGAAAATAATAATCAAGGCCAAGATGTTTGAAAGCGTCGGAAAATTTTTTTTTTAAACTTTTTCTCGCTTTATAGGAAGAAATGATGACGCGGAAATAATTCGAATTACTACGAAATTTGGATCGTTCGATAAAAGTATATGTCTTATTATTTCTCGAAGAAGAAAGAAGAGAAAAAGGGAGAGAGTAGTGCACGTTGTCCGTTAAAGAAGATTCAAAGCACGTGGTCTAGTAGGAGATGGAAAGTGAGCGAGGATAGAGATATTTCCTTCGTCCAGGAATTGTTTGAACTCGGTGTACCTTTTTCCCGATGCAAAGAAGAAGAGAGTCGAGCCAGAGGCTCGGCTTTAATTCCGTCGCTCGTCTAGACGCTTTTGTCTGGTCAAGAACCGCGTCTTCTTCCCTTTTGTCGATTCGCATATACGCGATATACGCATTGAATATAAAAAAGATCGCGTGTCCCTTTCCCTTTCGTGATGCGTCATTATGAATTTTAAATGTGGATAATTGCGCGGAAGATTTTCCTCCCCTCAGAGATTAAAATTAAAATTAGCGACACTTTGGAAAAGATGAAAGTGAAACTATATTTTACGCGTGTGATTAATAGAGTGGATACATTATGAGGTGTATCGTTCGTTAGCGTGTTAATCGTTCACTGCCACATCGAGTGTCCATTTCACTTTCTAATCGGTGAAAAGGCGAATAATTTAAGCCAGTTTTGAAATATGGTCAGTTTGCTTCTTGTGTCTTGGAATTTTCTATTAATTTTTTTTTTTAATTCCTTTCAATAGAGGTTGGATATTTATGTATAAAAATTACGTGCAACAACACATAATACAAAAGCACAATCACTCGTTGTGATATTTATCGAAAAATTTAATCCAATTCAAAATATTTCGGCTAATTCCGATGAAAAAATTGAATATTAAATTGAAATGTTAATTTTTTGTTATATCTAAAGTATTCGATATTCAAATTTGTATTATAAAATCACTAGAAATTCACTAGAGCTATGATCAACGCGCGGGAAATTTGAATACGCGTGGAGACCGCGATCGGATTAAACTTCGAAAGTCGTGAATACGTTCGATGTACTTTTCAGCTTTTCTAGACTAAGTTGCATACATTCGCGTATTCTCTCGAATGGAATATCGGATATACGTGCCGGGCAGCGGTTATTGTGCGTACGTGCTCCATATTGCGTGTTAAGCTTTCTGTGCTGCACCGGATGTTCTCGACTTTATGTATTTTATGCCAGATACCGTGGACACGTGAACCGCAATGACGATAAGGAGAAAGAGGAAAAACGATAGCGATAAGTGAGAATTCTGTGGTGTGCTTGACTCTAGGGTGCTTGCATGGCTGCTCAATTGAGTAAAGTTAGGATAGATTAAAGAGATTCGCTTTAATATAAAATTTTTAATTTGAAGAAGACTTAATTTTACACGGATACGAATAAATTAGGAATTTTTTGAGTTAATTTTATTTATATAAAAAAATACACCAATTTTTAATGAAATTCTTATATTCGTAATCTATGAAATAATATAAATATAATATTAAACAATTATAATTGTGCTTTGTATAGTATGTAATGACAATAACTGTTATACTGTTTTTAGCATCAAGAAAGTTCTGAGAATGGAATTTCGATAACAGGCACTATCAAGAAGCAAGAAACGTATGAAGATTATAGAAATCTGCTGTTTAGTTGTAATTTGTACTAAAATTCAGGACAAGCTGAAGCATTAGACAGGTACAGCACGATTTAGGTGTCTAAATTCGCGAGCAACGTAATCCTAAGCCGTAAAACTAAACCACGTGAACCTTATCTACGTTTTACAGCCGTGCTAGGTTGTGTGATTCTACCAAATCCATCTAAATCTATCTGAAATCTGGCTCGAACAGAAGTTCGAATCACGTTAAAACGACTTAATCTCGTTTCCGCATAATAATGTGTGTATCGACACGTAAAATGTATGGAAATCAATCAATTTTTACTAATTTTCTCCTTCTATTTTTCCAGATTGAAAAGAAAAATAAAAATTTTTCACTATGTTTTAAAAATTTTAATTATTTAAAGTTTTCTTTTGGATTAATTTTCAAAATCGATTTATTTTATTGTTTCTATCAATTTCTAATCATTTTTATTCTATACGCGTCACTATTAATTCAATTAGAAAATCAAATAAATATATTTATATCATAAATCAGTTCTTATAAACAGTAATTTTTTATTCCGTTATCAAAAAAAACTAGCTTTCATAATCAACGATTTCATACATTTCAATTGGATCCTGATACTAGAAATAGACGTTGTTACTAGATCATCGAATAGCTTTACAATCAATTATATAACGACATTTTTTCAACAACCAATACATTTTCTCTAATTATTTACTTCACTGTCTAATCAAGAATGCAAGACAAAAATTAGTATCTTCCATCTTTTAATCCAATTCTTCTAATCTCAAACTTGCAATGCAACGAACAAAAAAAGAAGAAATTGAAACTTTCCATTTTCTCAATTTAATTCAATCGTAAGAAAACTCCCTCGATTCAAAACGAAATTATATTTACGGCGAAGTTTCTTCCGTGCTTCGATTAGAAACGAGGAGAGAGGTTATTCGGCGCGATACAACGGCTTTTTTTTAATTGAACGATCGAGCTTGCAGCGTGAGAGTTAAAGAGAAGGGAGGGAAGTCTGCGCACCGTCGAAAAACTGGGACGGTTCGATAGTTGCCGGGGCAGCGCTCCACGATGAGCTCTATCAACGACGTAGCTTGAAACTAGTTTACGAAATAATCGTGATCTTACGAAAAAAGAGATTGGTCAATTCCTATGACCTCCTCCGCCAATAGCTTTTCGCGAAAGATTCCTAATTCAAACTAGTTTCGAAGCTATTTTATAATTTGTAAATGTTTGCAAATGTCTTTATTTTGTATCTAATTAATAACATATATGAGATTCTAAGACAGATTTCTAAGATTTTTAGAAAATTATTTGCGTTTAAATTAAATTTTATCTTTGACTATCTTTATTTTTATTTTAAATAATTTTGGAAACCACGAATATAAAAAGGTTATTACTACTAGTATAGAAGCTTAATCTATCTTAACTTTAATATTTTCCCAGAATAAATGTAAAAATTTTAGATAGATAGATAAATATGTGATGTATATTAATTCTATATTATATATAAAGAAATAGAAATTAAACTTTTTATAATACGATAATTAACACTAGAACTACCAAATCAAATTGACGAATTTTAGATTTTTATTATTATTAGAAATTACCAAGTTCTTTTAACAAAATCAATATATATTCATGTATATATTACAAGTTGGCAGTTCTAATGTTGTTGAAATTAGATAAATTAGAAGTAGACATTTCTCTATTTACACACCTTTCATTCCAAATTCACGATCAAAAATCCAACATCAAAACACGCTCTTCCACATCATAAACCTCTCACACAAAACATTTCCTTACACACAAGTTGTTTACGAGTTTCAAGTGGTCGCGTCACAAGACTCCCTCCATGAGTAAAAACTACGCAGTAACGTGAAAAGAGCAAGCATGGACGTTCACCCACGCGCGTGGTATTTATTACGAAAAAAAAAACACAGTGTACCGAGTTACGCGTGGACACTCATTCTCAGAGTTTGTCTTCGTCGGAGTGCTCGGGACAGAAGGATGAAAAGAAAAAGGGACGAGGCAAAAAGGCAGGAAAACAGCGTGGAACAATAACGGTGCACGTTTATCCTCGGACGACAGAGCACGCGATGGATTCCTTTGTAAGTGGACGTCCCCCACCATCTTGGAAAGCCACTTAAACGCGCCTGCGCAGTTGCAACATATGCGTGCACATAACCATGGGGAACATGGACATCTGCGCGGGAACAGCTGCAATTGGCGAACGATCAGCCCGGATGCAAGGCATTCCTTGTGACTAATCGAATTTCGGTATGTTTTTGTAATTACGAGTGGAGAACAGACGGTGATATATATACCATGTTATGTAGAAAATGTTGATATATTTGTGAAGCGTTTTTTTTGAAGAGTCCATTCTTGACAAATATAAAAGTTGGCTTCTCTATAGGTATTTATATATATATATAAAATATAGGTTATGTATATGTATATTAAATATATTACATATTTATATATTGTATTGTATGTATTTTTTATACATATATTAATGAACAAACACAAATATTGATATTTCTATGTGAAATATATATTCTACATGCATCATACATGTAGATTTTGTATCTTTTTTTACAATTCAAATCAGTTCAAAACTGAACATGATGGCATTTTAAAGAAGTTTATAAAAAATAAATATAAAATTGAATATTTCATTCTCACAATTGGAATTAAGTAATTATTTTGTCAAAATATATCAAAATTCTTCTTTTTTATGTATCACGTTCCAATGTTTTTATCTTAATATATATAATTTAATAACGAGTTTCATTTCATTAACAAATTTATGTTATTAGAGAAAACAATAGTGTATAATTTCTTATGATTCTATCTTTATCTCTATTTTCCATATAGATTATTAGATTAAACTTAAATCTTTCATCTCTCAATCCTAAAGAAATTATATACATATTTCATTATATAGAAAAATCATTCATTTCTTTCCTTTCTAATATACATTTCAAATCCAATAATAAATTGAAATCTAACTCTCATCTCTTCTTCTCTTTCAGATAATTCAAATTTGAAGTCCAATAATAAACTTTACATGTTCCAAGTCTTTGATTTCACCTCCATCCATTGCATCGTTCCGAATTAAAACAATTTCCATTGAACAAATCAAAAGAAAAGGAAAACCAAGTACTCCAAAGTAGCCGATCTCGAAAGCGAGAATTAACGAGCGATCTTGAAATCGTGAGGGTTGTCTTAATTAGATCGCGACTCCGTCTTCGTCGGTGTTCTTTTTCAAACTCGAGGGCACACGCTGTTGGAAATCGTTGAAACGATGCAGAAATAACGAGAACCGGAAAGGAGAGAAAGAGAAAGAAAGAGAAAGAGGAGTTTGAAGTGCATGGTGGGCCCTCGACCGATCAAAGCAGATTCGCAAAGTTGGCCCAAAGAACAAGGAATACCGAGTGGCTCTCCTCTCGTCGAATGTATCAACGATCAAAGGGTTAATACGCGTTGGAAATTCCTTTTTTTCCGGTAATTAAACTTTATCCTTTTCTGTCGTGAGCTCTACTTGATTGGAACTATCCTTGACACTTTATTTTCATTGATGAATTCTACTTTTTTTTTTTCTTTTCTAGTTGTCGAAAAGATTAATGAAGCTGTTTTGCAAAATTTTGATGATCGAGGAAGAAAATTAAAAAAAGAAGAAAACTTTGTAAGAAATTTAATATACTTTTGTTCAAAAATTGGAAAGAAATCGAATGATGGTTAATAGATTTTTTCAAATAAAAATTTTTTCGTCGAAATAAAATTCATAAATTTTACCAGAAATAATAGAAAATGCAGAGAATCGCAATAAAATGGATGCACACCCACGCGTGGCTTTTGGTATAAAAAACGGTAAACGGTTCTCCAAAAATAACTCTTAGAGTTCTTTTAAGCAGTCTATAAGACACTTCTTATACCTCTTCGCGCAAAATTCATGAATGCAGTTTTATCTTTCTCATTCATAGAATCCTTAAAAAAAAAAAAAGAAACCATACAAGCCGAGCAAACAAAGTGAAATAAAAATAAAAAATTGCTATTGCTCAAGATTTCTGGATTTAAGTCATACCCAATTGAAATTTTATTCCAACGTTTCATCAATAAACACTGCATTGAAATTTTCAAACGATCGCAATTATATAATAAACCTAAGTCTTACGATAACCTTAACCTTTTCAGATCTATAATTAAATATAAATAAATACGAACACCTATAGCTTGCAATAAAAATATACTTCTCAACAAAGTATAAAGGAGTAATGATATTATTACAATCCAACTACAATAATCTATCCGAGCACGTAATCTAAACATAAGATTTACCGAAATCTTGTCTAAACAGACTAAAATATTGAACTTACTAGGATAAAATCTACGTGCAATCGCAACGATACAAAAAGAAGAAGAGAGAAAAGAAACAAAAGTGGCATGGCTTTTAACGTGGCAAGAAGAAGGAAAGATTTCGAATAAAATTTCAAAAAGGAAAAAGGAAAAAGATAAAGGAACGAAAACTCGAGGCGGAAAAGTCGCAGCCGCAGGCCAGTGAGGTCGGCTCGAAAGCACTAAAAATCCACGCAACAGGTCGTTCTGTTTAGCCGAGGATCGAGACTATGCGTGTGTGTCTTCGCCACGCACGTGTTTCCCCTTCCGTCTCGTCTTCGCACGCACGTGTATCCTCCCACGCACGGAAGTAACCCGTTCCTTGCTCGCCACAGTATAACGAGACACGAAGAGAGGAACATTGCAATTCGCAGCTTTGGCTGCTCGATTATTCCAACTTTATCATTTCGTTGATTGTATTTTCTTTTTTATTTTTTGATATTCGGAAACTTTAATTAATAATCGTAGAAATTGACATTTTATAAAATATTAACAATTTTATAGAAAGAAATAAATACTACGAATAAAATTACTGATGAGTGTATACAACCATATAAAATAATATATATGTATATATATGTTTAAACGTGTACGACTAATTATCTTAAAACGAACTAAAAGCTTAAAATATTGAAAGAGGGGGAATATATCTTGTTAATCAGAGTAGTAAGTTGTAAATTAATCAAGCTTATAGGAGCTTGAATGTTAATTGCGGCATATTATACCTTGATGTAATTAGCTTGGAAGCTCACCTGGACACGCCCAGTGCACCCGGACCACCGAGATCAATTTACCGTGTGACGTATAGATTATTGTGCGCCTATGCAACAACAACGGTTGGATGGTACTCCTCTGTCTCTTCACAATACAAACCGTGTGCTTTCGGCCAACGGTGTTCCGAAGGCTGGCCAGGATTTCGATCGGCTTTGTTGCGAATCCGATGACAAAGTGACAGTGTATCATTGTTGCACAAGACGAACCGTAAATGGGAATTATGGGCCAAGTCTCAAAGAGAATCGTCCAAAGGATTGTAACGTGCCATTTCCAATATCAATTTGCGATAATATCGAAAATGTATATGTCGTCGTTTCTACTTTCTAATTTTTTAACATGTACGATTCTTTATTTTCTTCATCTAGATTCTCATCGGAATATCAACGATCGAATACAAATTTAGTGGATCCACTTGTTGGAATTTCAATATGAAAAGTAAATTTCGAATTTGCTTAACACCTTTCTTAACCGTGTATTCTAAAAATAGAAAAAAAGAGCAACCGTTTCCTTTCCTAAAAAGAAATAATGGAAAAGTTTCCCTATCAAACATATCGAAACAACATAGTGAGATTAAAAAAAAAGGGACGCAATTTAGAAATTCATTCTCGTTTCCAGCCACTTCCGCTTAATGAGAGGCATCGATGAGGGAAGAACGGAGAGGAGCAAACCAGTTCAGAAAGCGTTCAGAAGCGGTATCGCACGGTATCCCTCCTCCTCTCTGCTGAGGGAATTTCAAGCTCGGCAGTCTGGCTGGTTCGAAGCGGATCCACCGGTCTGGAAGGTCTGCTGGTTTCCCGATGGAACCGAGCTCTCTCTCTCTCTCTCTCTCTCTCTCTCCTCCTCCTCTCGTCC